CTCTACCGTCACCGTCGCCTCTATCATCGCCTCTGTCGTCATCGTCACCTCTATCATCGCCCGTGGATGCATGTGTTCCCGACGCAAAGAAATCGTCGTCGTCGCTGGATGTGTTGTCGAACAAGAAGTCACCCTCGTCCCAACGCATGCGTGACCTGCGAATGCAACCATCCATCCGCTGTCGCCGAGTCCGAGGAGCGGAACCCGCATCGCCATGTGTCCGTCCTCCGACACCTGGTCGTCCACGGCCGCCACGTCCCCGACCACGCCCTGCGTCGCCTCCTGTCCGACTCCGCCACCCGACGTTCGGCTCCCATGCGGGAAACGGCGCGCATCCTCTCTCTGGCGATGCTCAACTCCTCCTCGGTCACCCTGGCCAGCGCACCGGTGCCTCTGATGAGCTGCTAGTCCACGGCCGCCTCGTCCTCCACGGCGTGCCAATAATACACCCATTTCCCGAAGACGCCGGGCCTCTCCCCAACACCGTCGTCGCACAACGAAGGTCGATCGAGTAGCCTGAGGTTCCAGTGGCACCCCACAAGCTTCTCAGTCCGAGGAACCTCCAACCTGTTGCGAGACTTCGAATGAATGAAGCTCCAACGAGACCTAGCTCTCTCACACGGTGATGCAGTCGCCCATATACGAAGGATCCTGCCTGCAAACACGGCCGTGTGAGGGAACTTCCCCTTCTTAGAGGACCAAAAACTGGCAGGGTGATCAAAGATATCCGCAGCTCGCCGCATGGTGAGATCATCGAAAGGGGGCTCCCTCATGTGGAGCTTGGCGACCGCTCTTTGGACCTCCCGGTGCTGAGGCGATCCCTCCGAGTAGCCGAACTGTACCAGGGCCTCGACCAAGGCCTGCTGCACCTCCGCATCGTCACACAGCGTCGCGTCCCGGAACTCTGGATCTAGCAGCATGGCTGCTGTGTGGGCGAGGGTCTTGAACATGGTGCGCCGCCTAATGAAAACCTCGACAATAACGTCTTGCTGGTCCCGATTAATGTCACGACATAAAGACAAACAAGACGCAATCATCTCCTCGTACCGTCGTTGAATCTTGCTGATTTGGCGTGTGTCGCTGTCCACCAACTTCAGCATGCCCATGATGGGCTCGAGCACCTTGCATAGAGCTCTCAAATCCTCCCGCCATGGAGGGGAGCCGATACACGCAGTGACCTCCGCGGCGTCCTTGCGGATCTTGCTGGTCGACCAAACAGTCTCACGCCAACGATCGTCGCCCACAGCACCTGTCAACGCTGCCCGCAGTTCCACCAACCTCTCCATCATGATGACGTTCGTGTCGAAACGCGTCTCCGCCGGTAGCAGAAGAGTCTTCGTCGAGTGCGCCTCAAGAACCTCTCTCGCATGTCCATGGCGCTTGAAGAACCGTGTAACCAGCCTCGCTTGCGCAATGCGGGAAGCCACCCAATCAATCCCGCCGATGTCCTCGATAATGAGGTCCATGACGTGGGCGACGCAAGGAATCCAGAAGATGTGTTTCACGCTCTCATCTTTTTGGAATACCTCCATCGCCGCGACGTTCACCCCGGCGGAGTCCGTCACGAACGCTGTGATGTCGCTTAATTGAATGTCCATGGACTTCACTCTTTTCAACCATGCGTTCGCGAGGGCACTGACGTCCTTTTTGCCACGCATGACGTCGGTGGCCACATACACTACCCCGATCTTTGTCCCAACAAGGTAGTTGCACAACGTCTGGCCACGGATGTTGGTCCAACCATCCGTCATGATTGTGCAACCGGTCTCTCTCGACGTGTCAAGCACCGGCCGAACACACTTCTGGACCTCACCATCCAGCTCGTCCAAAAGGGTCATGCGCAGCATGTGGTAGGAGGGAAGTCTAGGCGCGGCCGCCCCCGGAACCCCCGGCGGGATCATCATCGTGAACATGCGTTTGAAGCTTTCAAGCTTCGAGCAGTTGAACGGCGTCCCACTCTCGACGATGAACCGCATGATTTGCGGATGCCACGCGCGCTCCAAAGGGTCTGAATAATATGACGTGACGGCCTGCTGCCTGTAAGTACCCCGACATCGTGCCGTCGTGGCTCTCCCGCCGAGGACCCCGGCATCCAACATCCCGCCAGGACTCACAGGTGTCGCGCTCTGGGTGACTCCAAGGTCGCGAATGCGCTGCAAAGGGTCTAACGATCCGATCAACACGGGTGGAGGCTGTGGGGCAGACCGACCACCACCCGTCGTCGTCCGAATCGGGGTCGGCGATGAATCGGACACCGGAGCGGGGACCTCCTCCGCAGGCACCCCATGAACCGCCTGTTCACCGAAACGAGGCACGGGGGCAGATTGTCGAGCATCTGCAGGTGCGTGTGACGGATCCGGTCTCGTTACTGTTGCATGACCGTGGTGGACCAGTAGATGCTGCGCCGCTCGCGACAGGGGCGGTGGCAGCCAGGGGTGCTTCGATGAACCGTGGGGCGATGCGCCAAGCGCCACCGCAGTACCACCCCGTGTGGCATCTGACTGTCTAGCACCCCTGAATACAGGGGCGAGCACCGATGAACTGTCGGCACTCCCCCCCCACCTGCGACTCTCAAGAAAAGCATGTGCGCTCTCCTCGTTAAATGCCTCAGATCCCACGCTATGACTCACAGGCGGGGGCTCGTTGGCTGGCGCGGAACGACCAACTTCCACATTGCGAGCACCTCATGTCGCAGCCACCGGTGCAGACGGCGGGGCTGCCGGTCGTGTTGCAACTGTTGTCGCAGGACGCGCTGTCGTGACTCGAATAGCGGGAGCCCCAGAATTAGGCGATGTGACCGGTCCTGAAGGGGCAGTGGCAGGAACCGGTGGCGGCACTGCGTCCTCGGGGAATCGAATAGGTGGCCACTGCAAGCTCGGATGGCCTGGCAAAAAGCTCTGCAAAGTTTCAATGGTCGATGCAAACTCCTTCGGACATTTTGTTGTATCCTTCGACCAGATCGCATATTACACAGCAGGAGTGGCTGCCTCACAACGGAACTTCTCGCTTTTCGAGAACTGTTCCTTGGCGGCTTTAGCGCCCCCACAAATCGAACGCCCGCACAACCCTCACAGGCATCGACGACCACTCTTCCTACCCGCCGCTGTTGACCCATCCAAATAATGCCCTCTGTCCACGAAATGCCACACTGGGTCGTCCCTCTTGCCGTCGACTTTCGGGTCGACCTTGAACGGCGAGTCAAACGTCTTCGTGTTATGACCTTGTCGGGCGCTTGTGGACGAGTCTATCGGATCCTTCCCCCGGTCCAGCGACATGATGAAAGCCTCTACCCGCGAGAAGAAGACGATGTCGGAATCCTCTGATAATGTTGCCAACTCGCGACAGAGATCGAAGTCGGCAGTCAGAGCGGCAAAGACATGCTATGAAACAGGAAAAAACAACGAACGCAAAAGTGCAGAACACCTGGAGTCCTGGACATCAAAGGAAAAATACAAAACGACATGAAACGCAAAAACAAACAGCCAAACAACAACGAAAAAAACTCAGAGGAAGATGAGGAAAAAAAACGTCGATATTCTCTGTCCCTTGCAATGATGAAAAAAAAAAAAAAAAAAAAAAGACCCACGACGCACACACAAAGACTTACAAAAACAATAGGGCGATCCCACTAACTCCACACACCAAGAAGAGAGAGAGAGAGAGAGAGAGAGAGAGAGAGAGAGAGAGAGAGAGAGAGAGAGAGAGAGAGAGAGAGAAGTCCCACTAAATCCCACTAACAG